TATAAAACAAGATCATCAGTTTTAGAATTGATAACTTTAGCTACAGTATCTAACAAAGAAATACAGTTGTGATTGACCCTGCTAAAAAATCTTCTAAAGAAGCAATTAGATTTTGAAGATCTGCATTAATTAAAGATCTTTAATTTGTAGGTCTTTGTGAAAATCTTCTGGGATCCTCACCTGGATCATCAACGATCTTATAGGATATTGCAAAGATCTTCCAGGTCCTTGCCAAATTCCTTTAAAGGTCCTAATGAGGACCTTTGCAGCGAGCTGAAGGATCTTTGCACAATTTTACAGGATTCTATATAGCATCTTGAATAGGATCCCATAAGATACCATTCCTACATGCAGTTAAGATCCTAAGCAATCCTATAAGATCATAGAAGAATTTTCTCAGGGTTATTACTATCATTACAAAGGCCATTGAACACTTTGAAATTTTTTTTTTCAAAACTTGTGTAATCCTTTAGAAATGATCAATGGTCCTAATAGCTGAAGTTGGATTCAACTCAGTTGAACTACTGAATGATATAACATGAATTAATCCACACGCTAAAAGAAACATCTATAGATACCTTTTGTAATTGCTGCATTTTCTCTTGAGCCTCTCTTTCTTTCTTTTCTTTTATCTGTTGTTCTGTCAGACAAGCAAAACATTATTAATTTCATTACATATGATGGTTTTTAATTATTAATAATTGGTTTTGATTCTCATTATCCAATCAAAATTCTATAATATTTCTATTATACTGTACACTATTTATTATTAGTAGAATCCTACTAGTATACTAATTCAAATGCTGCAATCTGATTGGCTGAGCTACTCATATACTATCAGCCATTAGAGTGCAGTGGCTGTCGACCGTCCACAAAATGCGAAGTATTTTTTTCGTTTTTCCGAAGTTTTGGAAGAAAGTTTAGATGTAACTGGATAATTAAATTCCTGACAAGACCAAAAGAAGGCCATTAGTGGTTTCTTGACATTAAAAACTTGAAATTATTGAAAAAACAGATGCACGCACCTAAACAATAACAAATTTACCAAGGACAATTCAATGCATGCGATTTTGTTAAAGCGTAAAGTTCAATAAGCGGAGAAAGATAATTAGAAACCGTTATTTACGTTTATTTCAGTTAGAATTCTACTAAAACAAGTAGATTATGAGCTCGAGATTTCTATGAGGTGATAGTTGATGAGGCCTTCAGCCTCATCAACTATCACCTCATAGAAATCAACTATCGTTAATTATAATACCAGGGGCAGTCACATAATTATTAGTTTTTTGTTTGTTTGTACTGAGATTAGCACTCTTACTGACCTGTAATCCTCAAATGAAACATTAACTAAAAATATATGACTCGTCACTGTGATTGCTTTGGTTTAACTTCACTCAGTTGGAAACAACTGCCCCATATGACAACTTAATAAGTAAATCTCCTTGAGTGCAGTTAAAATAGAATGGGGGACAAAATCATCTGCCTCTACGCATACCAAGATCTTGCAGCCATTTTTTCTTTTCATCAAGTTTAGACTGGTAAGTTTCATATTTTACAACTCCTGGAGCCTAACAAAGGAAATATTAAGGAGAAAATCATGAAGGCAAACATTACTAATAGCACACAGTGAAATCATGATTGCTAGACAGATGGACTAATAAAGACAGACAGAGAGATGAATGGATAAATATACAGACAAAAAGTGTGCATGATAGATGGACATAACAATAGACTACATGAATGCTGTCCACATTTTATGATGTTTATTTTTCAAGTGTACAATATTATGTCGCACCAATAACCAAAGCAATGTAACTTTATATGAAACCCTTCTCACCCCAACAGCAAATGAACTTCTCATGGCTACAGGGGTAGTTGTGATGACATCATGTGTGTTACTGCTCTGTGAAGTTGTCGGTATTGCATGTTTGGACCTGAGATCAAATGCTGAAACTGATGTCATATTTGCATCATTCTTGGATGAAATGTCCTGAAATAAATTAGGTTTAGGTTAAATGACTCAGAGAAAATCCGTTTACATCATTATAAACATTTTTGCTTGTCAATTTGGCTTGCATAATTGTGAAAATCACAGTTTTTAAAAGCACAGCACATTGGAAAATTACTGTATTTAAAAAAGAACCTCAGTCTGTAAACTGTTCAAAACTCAACATCATCATCACCTTTTTATTTGCCACATCGTGAATAGAAAAAATAACAATAATCAACAAAAGGCAGTGAGGAGACCTCCAAAAAACCACCAGCCACTTCAGTTGTTAATGTAGGGTGAATTTTAAGTCTTGCTTGCTCTATACATGTAATTTCAGAAATTCAGTCAATTATAGCCTGTACTCTTTGAACTTAGGCAATAAAATATACTAAGAAAAAAG